CTATAGTGTCCCTATTCCACAAGGCCTGGTGCTTTAGAGAGTTTCTCCAAAATGTGCTGCATATGCTTTGTTGTAATATCCTTCCAGCTTATCCTTCAGGCTAGTCCTCTGCAAAGGCTCTCTTGACCTGTTGTGGGTAGTGTTTGGTCCCTGGCTTGAATAGGGTGCATTTTAACTAGGTGTGCTTTGGTCTGCTTGTGAAATGAGACCTGTCACCACTGTCATTGGGACTGAGGTCTCACAAAACTCCCAGGATAGAAGACGTAGTGTTGGCAGGGGTTTGATCCAGTCTTCTGGGGCTAGGGAACCCACCAAGGGAGAGTGAGGCAGGTGTTCCTGAGAAGAGTGGTTCCACTGTAGGTTGGTGGGTTTGGGACTTGGTGTAAGCAAGTTGAGTAGCAAGTGTCATCACTTTGCTGGTTCCCACAGGTGGCTCTGTTTATACTGTGGGATGGGGGAGGAGAGTAGCACCTGCTAGTTCCTTTGTTCCTGGAGGGGGCTCTCTATGTTTACTGCCTTTCAACTAACCTCCCCACTGTGTGTGAAGGTGCTCTTCAGATTGCTTTTTCTATGCTGTATGTACACAGCTCTTTGCCCTGCCTTTTCTCCAACAGCAGCCCCAGTGCCCTCTAAGCTCCCCAAGAGCTACACATACTGACCTTTTAGACTCCAAGCATTAATCTCTGCTGGTTCCAAGAACTCTTAAATTTGGGCCTCTCACTTTTCAAGCCAATTGCTATGGAGATTTGTTTTCCCTGTGTGCTTCCTGTGTACTAGTCTCTCTTGCCCTTCTCTGGGACTGCATCTCCCTCCCCACAACAATGAACACAATTCATTTCTCTCCCAGATGTAGAGGTACATCTGCACACTTTCTGACTCCTTTGATGTGGCCTTTTCTCTACCTTTAGATGTAGAGCATCTAAAGGTACTGAAAATAATTTGATAGTTATCTGGTTATATTTGTGGGACAAGGTGAGCCAAGGGTTCTCCTCCTCTGCTGCCATTTTCCCCCACTCTGTATTTTTATTTTTTGAGTAACTTCCATACTGTTTTTCACAGTGGTTGCACCAGTTTACATACCTATCAGCAGTGTATGAGGGTTGTTTGCCAACACTGTTATTTCATGTCTTTTTGATTTTAGCATCCTAGCAGGTGCAATGATGATAGCTTGTTCTGTTTTGGTTTGCATTTTCTTGATGGTGAATGGTGTTGGGCATCTTTTCATGTGTCTGTTGGCCATGTGTATGTCTTTTTTGGAAAAAATGTCTATTCAAGTCCTTTCCCTATTTTTTAAATCAGATTGCTTTTTGTGCAGAGTTATATAAGTAATTTATATGTTTTGGATATTAACCTTTTATTGGGTATATTATTTGCAAATATCTTCTCCCATTCAGTAGGTTGCCTTTTTGTATTAATGGTTTCCTTTGTTGAGAAAAACCTATTTTGATATAGTCTCAAAAGTTAATTTTTGCTTTTTGTTTCTTTTGCCTTAGGAGGCATATCTAAAAAAGATAAAAAATGTTGGCATGGACAATGTCAGAGAAATTACTGCCTGTATTCTCTTCTAGGATTTTTTTGGATTCAGAGCTCACATTTAGTCCTTTATTCCATTTTGAGTTTGTTTTTGCATATGGTGTTAAAAGGCCATCCAGTTTCATTCTTTTGCATATAGCTGTCCAATTTTCCCAGCAATTTGATGAAGAGACTTTTTCCCATATTATATTCTTACTTTCTTTGCCATAGATTAATTGACTATAAAAATATAGGTTTACTTCTGGTTTCTTTAATTTGCTTTATTGATAGATGTGTCTGTGCCAGTACCATACTCGTTTTTGATTATTACAGCTTTGTAGCATATCGAGAAATCTGTAATTGTGATACCTCCAGCTCTGTTTGTCTTTCTCATGATTGCTCTGGCTATTTGGGATGTTTTGTGATACAGTACAAATTTTAGGATTATCTGTTCTAGTACTGTGAAAAATTTTGTATTTTGATAAGGATTACATTAAATCTATCTGTAGATTGCTCTGGGTAGTATGGACACTTTAACATTTATTCTTCTGATCTATGAACACGGAATTATTTTCCCACTTGTTTATATCATCTTGAGTTTCTTTCATCAATGTTTTATAGTTTTCAGAGTGCAGGTCTTTTGCCTGTTTGGTTAAGTTTATTCCTAGGTATTTTATTCTTTTAATGCAATTGTAAATGGGATTGTCTTTCTGCTACTTTATTATGACAGTATAGAAACACTACTGATTTCTGGGTATAATTTTTTTTAATCCTACAACTTTACTGGATTCATTTTTTACTTCTAGTAGATTTTTAGTGGAGTCCTTAAAACTTTTTATGCCATCTGCAAATACAGTTTAACTGTTTCTTTACCAGTGTGAATATATCTTTGGGTTTCTGATATTATAGAAATTGTGAATAAAGCTGCTATAATCCTCGGTGTACAGATGTTTGGGCATAAGTGTAAATACGTACAAGAACGAATGCTGGATTATATGCTAAGTGTATGTTTAGTGTTATATAAAACAACCAAACTCTTTCATCATGGTTGTGCTGTTTTACATTTTCATTAGCAGTGTATGAGATTTTTTGGTGTTCCTTTTTCTGGATCTTATTGCCATGCAGCATACTATTTATCTGTAGAATTCCTGGAACTTTATTACTCCAGACTCCTTTCCTTATATTCAGTAATATTTTTTTTTTCTCTCTCCAAAATCCCTAGTATCCCATAAGTTTACAGAAATCTTTCATCATGTCTTTGACCTTTATCAATGCCCAAGAAATTATAGAGATATTATTCTGGTATTTGCCTTGGATAGAAGAATAAGTATGAGAACACATAAAGCAGGGCATAATGAAATCAAACTGAAGTAAAGATAAGTAAAAAAGGGGGCAGCCTGGGTGGCTCAGCAATTAGCACCACCTTTGGCCCAGGGCGTGATCCTAGAGTCCTGGTATCAAGTCCCACGTCTGGCTCCCTGCATGGAGCCTGCTCCTCCCTCTGCCTGTGTCTCTGCCTCTCTCTCTCTCTCTCTCTCTCTCTCTGTCTCTGTCACTCAAGAATAAATAAATAAAATATTGTTTTCAAAAAGGTAACTTGGGTGAAAAGGAGAGGAAGAACTAGTGAAGATATCCATGGCTAGTACCTAGGAAGCAGTATTGAAAGAGAAAGCAATTGGAGAAGTATGATCCTTTTTCCATTTTAATCTTAGATTTAGTATAGATGTACTTTTGTTTCAGTTTGTAAGGAGGTGTTGGGAAATTCACAGATCAGTAGTTTCCAGGCATCTACACTTAAGGTTAGGAGAGATTTACTACACAGGGACAGCACAAGAGTATTTAGAAGTGATAGAAGTGTTGTATTATCACTTCTGTGATAGATACATAGCTTGAACCATTATAGATTTCTTTTGTCTTCATTCTCCTCCTTTTCAGTTAAGTCCTGTACCATTATTTACTTGGTTATTTTTTATTGAGTGCTAGACATTGTAAAGAAAAATTACGAAAATAATTTGAAACCTTGTGAATCTTCAGTGAAGATTTTAGTATGCTTTGTGGCAAACAATCTTAAATTACTTTAGTCCAGATTTCTTCACATTTGGATTTTATTCTAAGTTTAATTTAGAAGCTATTTAAAAGTTTTCGGCAGAGATAGCAAATCATGATCTGAATCAGGATCAGTTTGTAGAGAGTATTAAAACTAGACATCTCCACACTCTTTTTCTGATGCAGTAGATTTGCAGTAGATTTGTTGGTTGGTGTGGTAGATGGGCATCTTTAATTTTACCAACATCCCGGGTGATTTTGATCCCCACCAGTTTGAGAACCAATGGCTTAAAAATGTTTTCTTTTACTTTCTCAGTAGATTTGTATTATTCTCTAATCGCTGGTGTTTTTATATGTTAGCATATAAGATCATTCTGTGCTAATATTTTTTTGAAACCCTAGGCAGCATCATATTGCCCTATGCAGCATGAAATCAGTTTAGTGGGTTTTGACTATCAGTTTAGTGGGTTTTGACTATTTGACTATTTGTGTGTGTGTGTATGTGTGTGTGTGACAGAGAAGATAGAATAGCATAGAAAAAAAAACAGGGTAGATATTGTTTAATGAAACTGTATGGGTCAGGTTGTGATGTGAAAGATAAGTTTTACTATAGGTCATGGTAAATAATACCTGAAAACACTGATGTAGGCCAGTTATTTCTTGTGGGTATTAGTTACCTATATCAGATTTTATTCAACTGACAACTCCTGTCCTAATAATACCATTGTTAGTCAAAAAAATTTTTTTTAATTTTTATTTATTTATGATAGGCACACAGTGAGAGAGAGAGAGAGGCAGAGACACAGGCAGAGGGAGAAGCAGGCTCCATGCACCAGGAGCCCGACGTGGGATTCGATCCCGGGTCTCCAGGATCGCGCCCTGGGCCAAAGGCAGGCGCTAAACCGCTGCGCCACCCAGGGATCCCTAGTCAAAATTTTTGTAAGTTTAATACACGTACCAAGCATAGCTTAGCCTGTCCTGCCTTAAACATGCTCATAACACTTATATTAGGCTAAAGTTCAACAAAATTATCTAACATAAAGCCTATTTTATAATAAAGTATTGAATAACTCATGTAAATTTTTAAATTCTATACTGAAACAGAAAAGACAATGGCTGTGTGTGTACAGAGTGGTTGTAAGTATATCAGTTGTTTACCCTCATAAACATGTGGCTGACTGGGAGGTGTAGCTTGCTGCCACTGCTCAAGGTCATATAGTATTGTACTGCATATTGCTAGCTCAGACGTTATCAAAATTCAGAATTTGAAGTACAGTTTCTACTGAATTTATGTTGCTTTTGTACTTTCATAAAATAAAAAAAATTTAAGTTGAACCATCATAAATCAGTTACCATCTGTATATATTTTCATGTAGAGTCTTTTCTACTATGGGTTCTCCTGAAATGATGACAGGAATTTTTGATGTTCTCTTATCTTTCAGACTTGCCTTCGAGGAGTGTAAATAAGGACTTATCTCCAAAAAAAGACATTTATGAAACAGAATTATCCCAATGGCAAATGAGTGCCAGGCATCAAAACTGTGATTTTGAGGAGTCCAGTTCCAGAGATTATTTGGAAGTCAGAGGCACATTGGAAAAGCAACAAGAAAACCAGGAGAAATATTACAGGCAAGGGATGATTATATATGAAAAAATGTCCATTTTCAACCAGCATACTTACCTGTCTCAACACCCTAGGTGTCACTCTACTGAGAAACCCTACAAATGTAAGGAATGCGGGAAGGCCTTTAGACGAGCCTCACACCTAACTCAACATCATAGTATTCATACTGGTGAAAAACCATATGAATGTAAGCAATGTGGGAAGGCCTTTAGTCGTGATTCACAGCTCATTCTTCATCAGAGACTTCATACTGGTGAGAAACCCTATGCATGCAAGGAATGTGGGAAGGCCTTTACTCAGAGCTCACAACTTATTTTACATCATCGAATTCATACTGGTGAAAAACCATATAAATGTGAAGAATGTGGGAAAGCCTTTATTCGTAGCTCACAACTCACTCGACATCAAAAAGTCCATACTGGTGAGAAGCCTTATGAATGTAAAGAATGTGGGAAGGCCTTTACTCAGAATTCACAACTTACTCTACACCAGAGACTTCATACTGGTGAGAAACTCTATGAATGTAAAGAATGTAGGAAGGTCTTTACTCAGCTCTCACAACTTATTCTGCATAAGAGAATTCACACCGGTGAAAAACCCTATGAATGTAAGGAATGTGGGAAAGCTTTTATTTGTGGTTCACAGCTTTCTCAACATCAGAAAATTCACAATGGGGAAAAGCCATATGAATGTAAGGAATGTGGAAAAGCATTTATTCGTGGCTCATTGCTTATGCAACATCAGAGGATTCATACTGGTGAAAAGCCCTATAAATGTGAAGAATGTGGGAAAGCCTTTATCCGTGGCTCACAACTTACTCAACACCAGAGAATTCATACCAATGAGAAGCCCTATGAATGTAAGGAATGTGGAAAGACCTTTAGTCATGGCTCACAACTTACTCAACATCAGAGAATTCATACTGGTGAGAAACCCTATCAATGTAAGGAATGTGGAAAGGCTTTTAATCGTGGCTCACTCCTTACTCGACATCAAAGGATTCATACAGGTGAAAAACCCTATGAATGTAAAGAATGTGGAAAGACTTTTAGTCGTGGCTCAGAACTGACTCAACATGAGAGGATTCACACTGGTGAGAAACCCTATGAATGTAAGGAATGTGGGAAGTCTTTTATTCGTGGCTCACAGCTTACTCAACATCAGAGAATTCATACTGGTGAGAAACCATATGAATGTAAAGAATGTAGAATGGCCTTTACTCAAAGTTCACATCTTTCACAACATCAGAGACTTCATACTGGTGAGAAACCCTATGTATGTAATGAATGTGGGAAGGCCTTTGCCCGTGGCTTACTACTTATACAGCATCAGAGAATTCATACAGGTGAGAAACCATATCAGTGTAAGGAATGTGGGAAGGCCTTTATTCGTGGTTCACAGCTTACCCAACATCAGCGAATTCACACTGGAGAAAAGCCCTATGAATGCAAGGAATGTGGGAAGGCCTTTAGTCATGGCTCTCAACTTACTCTACATCAGAGAATTCATACTGGTGAAAAGCCCTATGAATGCAAAGAATGCAGAAAAGCATTTACTCAGAGCTCACATCTTTCTCGACATCAGAGAGTTCATACTGGTGAGAAACCCTATCAATGTAAGGAATGTGGGAAGGCCTTTACTCGTGGTTCACAACTAACTCAACATCAGAGAATTCACATCAGTGATACATCTTTTGAATATAAGGAATGTGAGATAGACTTCAGTCATAGCTCACAAGTTTATATATGAACTAATCCATTATCATCAAAGAATTCCTAAAATGTGAATATGGGAGCATATTTGCCTCACAAAATTCAGCATCAGTGAATTCTGTTGAGGGAAAGATATTGTTAATGTAATCCATGTAGAAAAACCTATCATTACTGGAAACCTATTAAACATTAGCAAATTATAATAGAGAATAATTCTGTTAATATAGTAAATATATCAAGGCTTTTAGCTATAGAATATGTCCTTTTCAACCTTATCTTGACTCTACCAGCTACTTTCCTTCATGACATTTATCATAATTAATGTCTGCTTTGGTTTAATCATTTGTAAGATAGGCCTAAGAATAATACCTTCCTTGTAAGATTCTTGGAAGTATTATGTGAGACGTTTCATGTAAAGTTCTTAGAGCGTGCCTTGAACATAGCATATCACAAGTATTAGCTATCATTATTACTAGTATTATTTTAGAGAATTTGCATGAGAAGAGGACCTTAGGAGTATAATGAATATTGAGAAATCTTTCATTAACACTTGACCCTGAATATTTAAGTAGGGGATACTGTATGCTGTAATGAATATGAGAAAGCTTTTACTCACATCTCATCCCATATGCTAAAAAAAAAGAAAATTCATACTGTCGAAAAAACCCACAAAACTTTGTAGATTTAATCAGTGGCCTGTTGAAGAGGGGTGAAGTGAATTGTAACAAAGTCCAAAAACTCCTATTTCCTATCATTTTTTTTACCACAATTCAAGAATATTATTTAGAAATGAAAAATATGGATAGCCAAAATAAATTTTCCTACTGGGAAATTTCTAAAAACTTGAATGTATAGCTTTTGAATTAAACTAAAAATAAATTGACATTACTATTTTTCAGTGAAACCTGATGACAGTCTGTCAGAGACTGCTGTTTCCCTACCCAATATCCAGTTTTCCGTTATAATTCTTGGCTGAAAAATCATCTCAGCCCCTCTTGTAGGTCAAGAAGATGGAAGTGGTACTTGTACACGTAGGACATCTAAGAATATCTTTTTTCTCTCTGCATTTCTTTGTTTCCTTGCCTAAAATGTGGACATTTAGCTTATAGCTTTGGTGATTTTATGGGGAGTTTGAAAATGGTATCTGGGTACTAAGGATGATGGAGTAGAAATACAGAATGAGTGTATACCTGTACTAATTTTATGGAACAGCTGTACCAATTCTGGTCTGCCTGCCTCCTGTATTTCTTTATATAAAATTAAAATAAACTTATTTGTTGATGCTGTTGTCATTTTGTTATTGACGCTAAAATGTATTACAGTTATAAAATTGGTATTGACTTTGTGCCATCATGAATGAGAATTAACCCACTTCAGGCTAGAAAACTAAGGAGTTTTTGCTTTTTTAGACAGGACATTTGGGGGATCCCTGGGTGGCGCAGCGGTTTGGCGCCTGCCTTTGGCCCAGGGCACGATCCTGGAGACCCGGGATCGAATCCCACATTGGGCTCCCTGTGCATGGAGCCTGCTTCTGCCTCTGCCTCTCTCTCTTTCTCTCTCTCTGACTATCATAAATAAATAAAAATTAAAAAAAATAAAAAAAAAAGACAGGACATTTGGTTAGACTCCCAGTCTATCTTACAAGGCAGATCTCTCACCAGTTAAGGCTGTAATGTTAGTAGAAATGGTAGGAGTGATTCAGAATGTGTGTTGGTAATGTCCCAATAAAGATAAGTTTGGTGTAGAGTTAGCTGCAGAGGCTACTAGCAGAGATTGAAAGTGATACTGCTTTGTTAAGAGATACTATCTCTGCCTACAGGCACTCCATCCTAGTTGATAGTAAATTCATATATTGCTATATTCCAGCCACTGTTTTTAGGTGTTTGGGATATATCAATGAGCAACTCTAGCAGGAGGAGATAGGATAATAATAGAACCATTGTAGAGTATGTTAGAACATTAGTGTTGTGGAGAAAAGGTCATTCAAAACTAGTTAAGAGCAATATGAAAGTTTATGAAATAGACAATAGATAAGGGAAAACTCAAGTCAAGATTTGAAGATATGAATGATTAAGTCAGTTGTTATCTAAGGGAAGAGCACTGCAGACAGGAAAAAGCTATAACATATGCCCTACACTGGGGTGATGCTGGTGTACTTGAGGAACATCAAGGAAGCTATTTAGAGATTTATGCAAGGGAGTGATTAATAGAGGAGGACGGTGGGATGCCTGGGTGCCTCAGCAGTTGAGTGTCTGCCTTTGGCTCAGGGCATGATCCTGGTCCAGGGACTGAGCCCTGCATTGGGCTCCCTGTGAGGAGCCTGCTTCTCCTTCTGTCCATGTCTCTGCCTTTCTCTGTCTCTCATGAATAAATAATATCTTTTTTAAAAAATAGAGGAGGATGGAGAGAGAACAGGGCCTCATCTTGTAAGGCCTTGTAAGTCATTGGAGGCATTTTATATTCTGAGGAAAATTTGCAGCCACTGGAGTGTTCTGAACAGAGGATATGATTTGACAAGCTGCTATGTGTTGTTAAAAAAAAAAGTGAGCAAGAGGCTATGGTCTCTTAATTTAGATGAAAGATGATGGTGGCTCACACCATGGTCGTAACAGTGAGAAGTGGTTGGACTCTAGATATAGGGTATATGTGATCAAACAAGACTTGTTTAAGGGTTAGATGTCCAGTGAGAGAGAGTGGGGTCTGGGGTGACTTTGACTCACAGATTTTGGTCTCAAACAAATGGAAAGATGATACTCCCAGCAGCTGAGATGGGGGAAGATGCAGTTTTTGTTGGGGAAGATTGGGAGTTCAATTTTGAACTTACTGAGTTTGAAATGTCTTTTAGACAAAATGATAATATTGATTAGGCACTTGGATGTTTTACCTTGTACTCTTCTAGAGATTTATTAATTTGGTAAGTATTGCCTATACACATAAAACCATGAGGCAGAATAATATCATTAAGGACTTGGGTTTAGATAGAGAAAAGAACAGAAAGACTAATCCATAGTGCCTTCTAACATTAAGAGTTCAAGGATAAAGGACAGACTAGCAAAGGATGCTAAGAAGGACCAGTGAGATGGAAGGAAAACCAAGATAGTGTGGCATTACAGAAGCTAAATGAAAGTGAATCAAAGGAAAGATGATCAGTGGTTATAAATACTATTAGATCTGTAATACTAGGCTTTCAAATTGACTTGAACTTATCAACATAAATGTTACTGTTGATCTTGAGAACAGTAGGGGTCTTTTTGTTGTGGAATGGTTGAATTAAGAACCTGTTGAAAAATAGAAATTGGAGATAATATAGAGACAACTGCTTGGAGGTTTTTGCTGCCAACTGGAGCAAAAAAAAAAAAGTGGTCAATAATTAGTGTGGCAACAGGAATGAAAATGTGCCTCTAGGATTGGAGAAATAATAGCAATTCTGTATGCTGGTTGGAATAATCCAGATGGGGGAGTAATTCATAACAAATAAGAATTATTGGAGCAATGACCTTATGTCAGTGAGAGGGGATATGGTTTAGGAGATGGAGGGGTGGTTTTGGGGAATCATGGAAAGTTTATTCCTGACAATAGTATGACAGAATATGGGGTGCTAGGAAGAAGGGGATAAAGTGGGAGAAGTTTTAGGAAGTATTCTGATTCCTTCAGTGATTCCATGAGTAGTAAACTGAACATATGAGGAATCAGAAGTTTGGGATCCAAAAGGAAAGAGATATGAAATAGTCACTTAAGCAACGCATTTAATGCAAATTCTGATTGCCTAGCAACAATAAAGGGATAGAAAAATGAACGCAAAAAGGTGCCAGTAAGCAAAAGAAAAAAGACTTAAAACTACATTCACACTAGATCTTTGACATTGTAATTAAACAGTAACAAAAACTATTGAGTTTTTGAGGGAAATGTATTACTGTTAATGAAACCCAATCCTAAGTTGCAACAGCCTATGACTCAAATCCCCCAAACAATGACCCATTTATGTAATTTTTCCAAGGATATATATGAAACTGTGTATGTCTAGCTGTATAGGCTACTAGCAGAGATCAAAAGCAATATATGTCTGTATGTGTGTGTATATTTATAGCTATATATACATACACCTATATGTAGTTAGAATGTAGTTTCTGTTTTTTCATTTGCTTTTTAAAAATATGTAAGTTGTATGTTTTAAAACCTGCCTTGCTTTTTCACTTACGTATTTTGGCAGTCATTCCAGTTGATATTGCTGCATAACCACCATTCCAAACTTGGCTTAAGATACAATAATAATTTATTTAGCTCACACATCTACAAAATTTTGGACAGGGCTTGGCAGCAACAGCTTATCTCTCTGATCAACATAGCCTCAGATGTGGTGGCTTGAAAACTTGATGGCTGAAGGCTGGAATCATTCAAAGACTCACATGTTCACATGTCTGGCAGTTGATTCTAGCTGTCAACTGGACATTAGATAGGGTCCAGAATACCTGCATGTGATATCTCTATGTCACTGCTTAGCATGGTGTCTTGGGTTCCAAGAGAATGCCCTAAAGAACAAGGTAGACGTGCATGTTATTTTTGTGATCTAGCCTCAGAAATCACATAACTTCACTTGTGTCATACTCCATTGGTTGAGGCAGTTACTGCTCTATGAAAGAAGTGTCACATTGTAAGAAGAGCTTATAGGATAGGATATATTGTGGCCCTGTTTGGAATACCCAATATGCCATAAAGATCTTCCATATCTGGCCTGGGAAGTTACATAATCTCACTTCTGCCATTCTCTATTTGTTCAGGCAGCTACATCTTGATGGAAGAGTGTCACATTGTAAGTAGAACATATGGGGTAGGATTATATTTTGCTGGGCCTTTTTGGAAAATATATTCTGTTCCAGGGATCATCTCCTACATGAAACTAACTCATTTTAAGGTGGCATATTATTGTTATAGCAATATATTCTTTTAGTGATCTACCATAATTTTGGCAGACTGCCAGAATTTTCCTTTTTTTTCCTTGGGTTCTTGACTGCCTTGCTAAGTACCAAATTTCCCATTCTCCCTTGCCAGTTGTGACCTTGTGACTAAATGAAACATTATCATAAGTGATACATAGTTTTGCTCTCATTTGCTCAAAAACTTCCATAAGAGTAGGGGACTTGGGTGCCTCAGTCAGGTAAGCATCTGACTCTTGATTTTGGCTCAGGTAATGATCCCAGGCTTGTGAGACTGAGCCCCACATCAGGCTCCACATTCAGCAGAATTTGCTTGAGATTCTGTCTGTTCCTCTCCTTTTGCCCATCCCCCCCAATAAACAAATTTTTAAAAATTTTCCATAAGAGTACAGAAATAACTCCTAATACATTATTAAGTAAGTTAGTATACATATTTAATATGGTTATTAAGAATATATTTTACTTCTGGTTCTGGACCAAAATGGAGAATAAAGTAATATGAAGCTATAGTAAAAGAGAAACAAACTATAAGATGTAAAAGCACTCTGAAGAGTACCCAAAGACTAAAGGAGAGTATCCAAGGAAGGATAAGTTTTGAAGATAGGCCTCATCTCTAAGTCTGGGGTTCAGATTTCATCATAGAAATATGGTTTCAGGGACACCTGGGTGGCTCAGTGGTTAAGCACCTGCCTTTGGCTTCAAGGTGTGATCCTGCAGACCCAGGATCGAGTCCCACATCAGGATCCCTGCATGGAGCCTGCTTCTCCCTCTGCCTGTGTCTCTGCCTCTCTCTCTCCCTCTCACTCTCTCTCTCTCTCTCTCATAAATAAATAAATAAAATATAAAAAAAAAGAACTATGGTTTCAGCCCAACTGAATGGTGGGGAATTTTAGTGGGGTGCCAAGGCTAGAGCTAATCTGTACTTTTAAGCAAGCCGGAAATAAACCTTTGGGACACCAATGAGTCACAACATTAATAGTAGGGGACTTTAACACAGCACTTAGATCAATGGATAGATAATCCAAACAGAAAATCAACAAGGAAACAGTGACTGAAAGACACATTGGACCAGAAGGTTCTACAGATATATTCAGAACATTCCGCCCTAAAACAGCAGAATACACATTCTTTTCAAGTGCACAAGGAACGTTCTCCAGAATAAACCACATATTAAGCCATTTAAAAAGTCTCAACAAATTAAAAAACATTGAAGTCATACCATGTATCTTTTCTGGTTATGCCACCGTGAAACTAGAAGTCAACCATAAGAAAAAAAATCTGGAAAGAGCACAGATACATGAAGGGTAAATAACATGCTACTGAACAATGGATGAGCCAACCAAGAAATTAAAGAGGAAATAAAAAAGATGCATGGAGACAAGTGAAAATGAAAACACAAGAGCCCCAAATCTTTGAGATGCATCAAAAGCTTTTCTAAGAGGGAGGATTATAGCAACACAAGGCTACCTCAGGAAGCAAGAAAAGTTTCAAACACCCTAACCTTCCACCTAAAGGAGTTGGAAAAAAAGAACAAACCAAACCCCAAACCCGTAGAAGGAAGGAAATAATAATACTTGAGCAGAAATAAATAGAAACTAAACAAACAGAAGAAATCAGTGAAACCAGGGCCTCAAAGTAACCCGAGTCTTTCCCATTGGTGCATACCCTATATCACAGCCCATAGATTCACAAGTAAGTTCCTGATAGGACATACCCAAATGGCCCTTGTAATAAACAGTTGCCCCTGTTTCCCAGAGCCTTCCCCTGTGTGGCCTCCATGAAGCTTGTATTAACCCCACTCTTTTTTATTTGAATTAACCAATCTGTCCTTAAGTATTAGAATCCTAAAACAGACTACCTACAGACCCTAATAAAAGCATGTGCCCTAGGTCCTGGTGCATTTTCTGTCTGCATTCTGCCTGGATCTACCTGTGTGACCCCTGGAAGCATGCTGTGTACCTCCTCCTGGACCTGTGAGTAATAAACTCTATTTCATTTCCTTTTTGGCATTTTGTTGAACCCCAACTCACCATCCAACATTATGGTGCTCTATTTTACAAATACTAGTTTAACAAAATTAAAACAGAGGTGTGCTAGTAACAACTCCCTCAGCTTTTGTTTACCTGGAATATCTAAATTTCTCTTTCAATTTGAGGGTAGTTTTGCTAGATATAGAACATCTGTCAGGGTTTTTTTCTCTTGGTATGTTAAATATATAATTTGATTTTCTTATGTCTTCCATAGTTTCTGATGAGGAATCAGCTGTTACTTTTATTGAAGTACCTTTCTATGTAGTAAATTGATTGCCTCCTACTGCTTTCAAGACTGTCTTAGCTTTTCAGTAATTTAATGTTTCACTGTTGCTCCTTTTGAGTTTATCATGTTTGCAGTTGATTGAGGGTCTTTAAAGTGTATATTTCATGTTTTCATCAAGTCTGAGAAGATTTTGGCAGTCATTTTTTCAAATAGTTTTTCTTCCTCCTTCTGGTCTCCTATTATGCATTTATTGATATACTTGATGGTGTCACATAGCTCTCGCAGGCCCTCTTTTTTCCCCACTATTTTTGTTCCTACTCTTCAGACTAGATCATTTCAATTGCTTTATCTTTAAGTTGACTATGTTTTTTACCTTCTCAAATCTGCCATTGGATTCCTCTAGTGAATTTTTCATTTCAGCTATTGTACTTTTTCAGCTCCAGAATTTCTTTATGGTTCCTTTTTATACTTTCTATCTTTTGATCAATATTCATTTTTGTTCATACATTATTTTCTTGATTTACTTTAGTTTTTTGTCCAGTGTTTTACTGAGTTCATTTAGCATTTTTGGATAGCTCATTTAATGTATTTGACTAGTAATTTCAATGTCTGCATTTCCTCAGTGATAGTTTCTATCAGATTCTTTTTTATATGTAAATGGGACACACTTTCCTGTTTTTTTTTGTTGTTGTTGTTGTTGAGGTGTAGACATTTTGAGTAGTATAATGTAAGTCTGGAAATCAGGTTCTTTCCCTCCATGGGGATTGCTCATTTTTGTTTGTTTAAGACTGCAGCCATCTATTTATTTTGTGACTCCTCTAGACTAGTTTTGCAAAGTGTGTATTCCATGTTATGTATCCTCACTGAAGTTTCTGTTACATTATCTCTGAGATCTGGCAGAAATATTGATTAAAACTTCAATATAAGAAAATATAAAAATTATATGCACTGTCTTAGCTTGAACTTCTGTAAAACAATACCATAGACTTGGTGTCTTAAGCAAAGGAAATTAATTTTCTTATGGTGCTAGAGGCTAGAATTTGGAGATCAGGTTCCCAACATGGTCAGTTTCTGGTGGGAGCTCTCTCCTTTTTTTTTAATGAGAGCTCTTTTATTAGATTGCAGATGGCTGCTATTTTGCTGTGTGCTCACATGACCACTTTTTTGTCCTAGTGCAGAGAAGGAGTGAATAAGCAGTCTGGTGTCTTTTCTTACAAGTGCATTAATATTATCATGAAGGTTTGTCCCTCATGACTTTATCCAACCCTAATTATCTTCCAAAGGCCCCATCTCTAAATACCATTACAATAGAGTTAAGGCTTCAACATATGAATTTTGGAGACAAACATTCAGTCTATTATATGTATATAACAACAGACCTACAGAATACATGAAGCAAAAAAAATGACATTATTGAACATACAAATAGTTATATAATAGTACCTGGAGCCTTGAATACTGCACTTTCAATAATGAATAAAACAATGACTCACTAAATTCTATACCTGAAACTAATATTACACTCTATGTTAACTAACTGAAATTTAAATAAAAACTTGAAAACAAAACAAAATAATGAATAAAACAATGAGATAGAAGATCAATAAAGAAATAGAGGACTTTAACAACACTATAAGTCAACAGACATACAGAATACTCAACCCATTAACAGCAGAACCCTGATCTTGTCTTAAGTGCATGTTAAACATCCTTCAGGATAGATCATATGATTAGCCACAAAACAAGTCTCAATACATTTTAAGAGACTGAAAATATACTGCACATCTTTACCAATCAGAGTGGAATGAAACTAGAAATAACAGGATGATGGTAAAATTCACATATACATGGAAATTAAACAACACACTTCTTGAAGTATAATTAAAATGCAATTAGTTGCATTCATTTCAGGTGTATAACATATGGATTCAACAATTCTATACATTAGATCAATGTCCACCACAGTACTGTAGTAAGCATACAACATTACTATAATAATAATCCTTATGTTATATTTTTCATTTCTGTGACTTATTTATTTTATACCTGAAAATTTGTACCTTTTATTTTAAATTTGTACCTTTTAATTCCCTTTATCTATTTCACCCATTCCCCATCCTTATACCAACCTCCCCTCTAAGCAAACACCATTTGTTTTCTGTATGTAAGAGCCCGGGGTTTTTTGAAACAACACACTCTTTAAAAACAACAACAACAAGAAACACTAGATTAAATAAGAAATCCAAAAATGAAATTATAAAATAAATTGGGATGAATGAAAATGAAAACACAACATGCCAAAACATAGGATGTAGTGAGCCCATTAGAATGAAACTAGAAATCAATAGCAGGAGGAGAATTGGAAAATCCACAAATACGTGGAAATTAAAGACTTTTAACCAATGCATCAACGAATAAATCACAAGGGAACTCACCAAAGATCTTGAGACAAACTGAAAAACATAACGTACCAACACTTAACAGAATGCATCCAAATCCATGCTAAGAGAAATTTATAACTGTAAACATTTACATTAAAAAAAGAAAGATCTCAAATCAATAACCTAACTTTACATCATATGGAATCAGAAAAAAAGAGCAATTTAAACCCAAAGCTGTCAGAAGAATGGAAATAATAACAATTAGAGCACAGATAAACAAAACAAAACAAACCCAGGAGTTTGTTCCTTGAAAATAACAGCAAAATTGACAAACTTTTGGCTAGATTGACCATTAAAACAGACAAGAGACAGAAAAATAAAATTACTAAAATCAGAAGTGAAAGTAGGGACTTTACCAATTTTATAGAAATTAAAAGGATTATAAGAGAATACTATAAACAATTATAGGCTAAGCAATCTGATAACCTTGATGAAATGGAAACACTCTTAGAAATATACCCCTGGGGGGCAGCCCGGGTGGCTCAGCGGTTTAGCGCCACCTTCAGCCCAGGGCCTGATCCTGGAGTCCCGGAATCAAGTCCCATGTCAGGCTCCCTGCATGGAGCCTGCTTCTCTCTCTGCCTGTGTGTGTCTGTTTTTTTTTTTTAAGATTTTATTTATTTATTCATGAGAGACACACAGAGAGAGAAGCAGGCTCCATGCAGGGAGCCCAACGCGGGACTCGATCCTGGGTCTCCAGGATCACGCCCTGGGCCAAAGGCAGGCGCCAAACCGCTGAGCCACCCAGGCTGCCCGTCTGTGTGTGTCTTTCATGAATACATAAATAAAATATTTAATAAACAAAAAGAAATATACCCCTGGAAATACACAAACTACAAAACAACCGAAGACGAAATATAAAAATTCAAACAGACCTATAACAAAAAAAGAAAATTAAATCAGTGAGCAAAAACCTCGGAACAAGGAAAAGCCCGGGTTCAGATGGTTTCACTGGTGAATTCTCATAAACATTTATAGAAAGAATACCAATACTCTTCAAACTCTTGCCAAAACTCGAATTAGATGGATCACTTACAAACACATTCTATGAGGTTACTAAAGCCAAAAAAAAAAAAAAAAAGGACAATACAAGGAAAAAAAAACAAACTACAGGCCAGCATCCCTTATGAATATAGATGCAAAGATCCTCAACACAATACTAGCAATACTAATATGCTAGTGAATTCAGCAACCTATTAAAAGAGTCATACACTATGACCAAATGGAATTTATCCCAGTCCTGTGAGGGTTGCAATCTATAATAACCAATATAATTTGGGGCATCTGGGTGGTTCAGTTGGTAAGACATCTAACTCTTGGTCTCAGCTCAGGTCTTGATCTCAGGGTCATGAGTTCAAGCCCTGCATTGGGTTCCATTCTGGGTGTGGAACCTACTAAAAAAAAATCGATGTAATGTGCTACATTAAAAGAATGAAGACAAAAACTATATGATCATATCGATTGATACAGAAATATGTCAGAGCAAAAACTCTAAATCTCAGAATGAAACAGGTGTAAATCTTTATGACTAATTAATGGTTTCCTTGATCTAATACCAAATGCACAACAAAAGAAAAAATAGATATATTAGAATTCTTCAAAATTAATTTTTTTTTTGCTTCAAAGAGCATCATCGAGAAATTGAAGAGACAGCCTATAAAATAGGAGATGTTTGCAAAGAACACATTTGATAAGAGATTTGTCTTAGTCCTCTTGGGCTGCTATAAGAATTACCATAGCTGGGTGGCTTATAAACAACAGAAATTTGTTTCTTGTAGTTCCGGAGGCTGGGAGATCCAAGATCAAGTTGTTAGCAGGTTGTATGTGTCTAGTAGGGCCCACTTTCTGGTTCATAGAAAAATGTCTTTTTATTCTGTCCTCATATGGCAGAAGAGGCAAGGGATCACTCTAGAGCCTCCTTTCTAAGGGCACTAATTTCATTCCTGAAAGCTCTGCCCTCATGACCTAATCATTTCCCAAAGGCCCCACTTCCAACTACCATCACATTGAGCATTAGGATTTGATATATGAATTTGCATGGGATAAATAAAGGGAACACAGGGAACTTTTAGGGCACTGAAACTACTCTTTTTAATATTATAATGGTAAAAACATGTCATCATAAATTTATTCAAACACATAGAACAAAATCAAATGTGAACCTTAATGTAAATTAATGTACTTTGGGTGATGATAGGTCAGTAAAGATTCATTAACTGTAACAAATGTACCACTCTAATGGGGGGATATTGGTAATGGGGGGATATTGATAATGG